AGAAATGAGAAGGGGAATATCACAACAGAAACCAAAGAAACTCAAAAGATCATCAGAGACTACTTTGAAAGTCTGTATGCCACAAAACAAGAGAACCTAGAAGAAATGGATTCCTATAATCTCCCAAGGCTGAATCAAGAAGATCTAAAATACCTGAATAGTCATATTAATATCAAGGAAATTGAAACTGTAATCAAAAGTCTCCCCAAAAACAAAAACCAAGGTCCAGATGGATTCACTAGTGAATTTTTCTAAACATTTAAAGAGGACCTATTGCCAGTTCTTCTCAAGCTTTTCCAGGAAACTGAAGAAACAGAAACTCTCCCAAACAGTTTCTATGAGGCTCATATCTAATACCAAAAGAAAATACAGACACCACAAGAAAAGAAAACTACAGGCCTATATCCCTGATGAATATGGATGTGAAAATTCTCAACAAAATACTAGCAAGTAGAATTCAACAACTCATCAAAAAGATCATATACCATGACCAAATGAGATTCATCCTGGGGATGCAAGGATGATTTATCATTCAGAAATCAATCAACATAATCCATCATATCAACAAAAAAAAGATAAAAAACATATGATCATATCAATAGATGCAGAGAAAGCATTTGACAAGATCCAGCACCATTTATAATAAAAAACCCTCGCCAAAATGGGTGTAGAAGGAACTTTCCTCGATATAGTTAAAGCCGTCTACCACAAGCCTATGGCAAGCATCATCCTCAATGGGGAAAAACTAAGAGCCTTCCCTCTAAGATCAGGGACAATACAAGGATGCACACTCTCTCCACTGCTCTTCAATATAGTACTGGAAGTACTTGCAATAGTGGTTAGGAACTATTGCAAGAAAAAGATATTAAGGGCATTCAGGTAGGAAAGGAAGAAATCAAGCTATCACTATTCGCAGATGATATGATATTATACTTAGAGAACCCTAAAACCTCTACCAAGAAACTCCTAGAAACAATAGACTTGTATAGTAAAGTTGCAAGCTATAAAATCAATACCCAAAAGTCCACATCTACACTTCTAAGTTCATTGCTGCACTATTCACAATAGCCAAAATCTTGAAAAAACCCGAGTGCCCGAGAACAGATGACTGCTTAAAGAAACTTCGGTACACCTACACAATGGAGTACTAAGCAGCTGTTACAAAAGGTGAAATCATGAAATTTACATACAACTGGTACTACATGGAAAGTATCATGCTAAGTGAAATGAGTCAGAAAGAGAGGGACAGACATAGAAAGATTGCATTCATCAGAGGAATATCACTGTATCACTGTCATCTTGTGGGTCATCAATTGCCTCAAGCAGATCCCAGTAATGTCTCCTTCGTCCTAGCCCAGAGATTTTAAAAAGTGCCACATTCGAGGTTCTTTCAGGGTCAGGAGAATGAGACCCATCATTGTTACTGGTTTTTGGCATATTGAATATGCCACGGGGAGTTTGCCAGACTCTGCTGTGTGGGCAGGATACTTTTGGTAGCCTGCCAGGTTCTCCAGAGTAAGAGCTAGAAAATAAGATGTCACACAGAGACTAACACTCAAGAATAGCCAAGATAAGTACCAGGAGGTTCACTCAATGGCTTGGAGTCCAGCCGCACATGCTAGGAAAAAAAGCAGCTCAGATAGAGAAGGGAGTACCAAGTAAACGGTGTGGGAGGATCCTCCCAAGATGGGAGATGCCTGCTGAAAGTAGACTATAGATTGAACATGATTGCCACTGAATGCCTCTTTTGCAAACCACAACACCCAAAAGAAGAGATAGAACAAAAGGGAATGCCCTGCCACAGAGGTGAAGTGAGATGGAGGGGATGGAGGGGTGAGCGGGTGGGAGGGAACTAGGATCATTGGTAGTGGAGAATGGGCACTGGTGAAGGGAATACTCGATCATTTTATAACTGAAACCCAAGCACAAAAATGTGTAAGTCTACAACTGTACCTCATGGCGTTTCACCAATAACATTTTTAAAAAATTTTAAAAAAGAAACTTTGGCACATCTACACAATGGAATACTATGCAGCTGTTAGAAAAGATGAAGTCATGAAATTTACATACAAGTGGTTCTACATGGAAAGTATCATGATAAGTGAAATGAGCCATAAAGAGAGGGACAGACATAGAAAGACTGCACTCATCTGGGGAACATAAAGTAACAGAATGGAAGTCAAACACCCAAGAATAGTTGAGATAAGTACCAGTAGGTCTGCTCCACGGCTTGGAAGCCGGCAGCACATGCTGGGGGAAAAGGCAGCTCAGACAGAGAAGGAAACACCAAGTAAAGGATGTTTGGAGGACTCACTCGGGATGCAAAATGCGTGCTGAAAGTAGACTATAGACTGAACACGATGGTCATTCAATACCTCTATCGCAAACTACAACACCCTAAAGGAAAGAGTGAGCAAAAGGGAATGCCCTGCCACATAGGGGGATGGGGTGTGGGGTATTATGGCTACTAGGATCATTGGTGGTGAAGAATGAACACTGGGGGAGGGATGGGTACTCATTCGATCATTGTATAACTGAAACCCAAGCACGAAAGTTTGTAAGTCTACTGAACTGTACCTCATGGTGTTTCACTAATAAAAAAAAAAGTGACCAACAGGTTATATAGTCCTGTCCCTCATTAGTTTGACTTTTCTATTTGAAGAATCATATAACCAATGCTGATAGACTTTCAGACAATAGCACCATCTCTAAGAATAAATACTATAGAAGACAACCAAACACGGTTGTTTGGCCAAAATTAAAGCTTTCTCCTAAAATAAGACATACAATTGCTTCACTACCAGTCAGAAACCCTACTGAAATCCTTGTGTAAGCACCACTCATAAGTCAGATCCAGCCAAAGTTCATTTTATATGGCCAACTCTAATAATATAGTGAGAAAACTTCATTTGACTATATCAACTGTTCACATAATTAACTGTGTGGCTAACTTTCTTCTTTTTCTTTTCTTTTCTTTCTTTCTTGTTTTTTTTTTTTTTGTCTAGGGTTTGGGGGATGGCTCCCAGATTAAATCAAGGCTTACATACATGCAAGGCAAATGCTCTTTCACACAGCTACATACCCAGATTGCATAGCTTATACTCCAAAAACATCAAGCCTCCCCCCCAGATACTATTAATAATGATGTAAATTTTAAAATTCCCAACAAAATCCATAGACTTACTATAGCAAGTTCAAAAACATGTAGCCAAAAATATACCAAATTTATTCAGTAGCTAAAGGGAAAATATTGTAACGTGAACAACACTATTCTAATATGGGGAAAGGAAAAACACTATGAGCTGTTTTGAGAGATGAGCTTTTTGATTATATATGCAAATTAATGCCTCTGTTACCAGAGTTTGCAAACTCAAGCTACAGAATTAACTTCAGATTCTGAACACATATATTAAGCTGTATAAATTTGAGGAGTGTAGTATATTATTCTATTATCTTTAAACATGTAACTTTAAAAGACTCTAGAACATATAAAAGCAGTAATGACAAAATTTTTGCATTATAATTTGGTGAATTTGGCCTTTCTAATATTCACCCCTTATTCCAAAGACCAAACATCCACAACCCCCGCTACATGCACACACAAACCTATGTAAGGACTACTTCCTTTCCCACTTATAAGCACACAAAGTAGCAATTCTGATTACATGAGTAGTCAAAGATTTAAACTGAGCTTAAACTATCATTCCTGGTAATAACTACACAGGAAACAATCAAAATCCAAGGACACTAAAATATAAATGGTTCATGAGTTACAACATGGAATTATACTCAATCTAAATTGAAATTAACTAAATGCTATATATAAATGGTTTGATTAAATCTTGGAAACACGCAATAGAAAGAAAAACATATGTATTAGGGTCGGAAAAAAATGGTTCAAATCAAACACCCTAGGTTGTTAAGAAACCTTTGACAGATAAACGTCTCCATGCCTTAATCTTCAAGAATAAAATTCAGAAAACAGGAACCTGGAGATAGCTAAAGTGGTAGAACACATAGTCAGCATAGACAAGGCCTGAGTTCACATGCCAACCCAACTCACAACTGCCAGCTCCCAACACTGCCAAGTGGGGCACCTACTATCAATCAATACCAGTTTTTTTTATATACAAACCAAGCATCTAGTACATTACCAAACATTACCAAACAGTGCTTAATCACTACAAATTTTCTTTGTATTCTCATCTCCTAAATGTCAGTCTCTCATTTAGTCTAAGTAATGTGTGTTTAAGACGGAATCTTTGGGGGTGGGGAATAGGGAACCTCGGCACTTGATTTCTCCCACAGAACTGATCCCAAGTTATATGTATTAATTAAACTGCATACATAGTTGGAAAGAGATGTGCAATAACACGTAACATTTCCTTGTTCCATTAATCTATTTTCTGTATGCTTTCACCTGTTTAAACTATCTTGTCTGTTTATATATTTATCATTTGTCTCCTCTCTCAAGAATATAATAAAGGCAGGGATCTTGTCTGTCCTGTTCTCTATTGTGTCCTCAGCAAATAAAGTCAAAATATTTGCAAAGACTTCTAAAACAAAAGAAACAGAAAAATACAGAAATGATTAATGCAAGCTAAACAATCACGCCCTCAATCTCAACAACACTGCTCCCTCTGTTTGGAAAAGAAAGGAAGAATAAATATGACCAGCAACTATCCCAATTAAAATAGCACGCCACTTTTGCCACATCATCTAGCTCAAACATAAGCCACTTTTGCCACATCATCTAGCTCAAACATAATTGTGGCCAGGCACCAGTACTCCCATATGAAGAGCAGCATTTATAAATGTTCATTTTGAACACCAGTTGGATGTAACTCAGGACAGGCAAGCCTAAGAAATAAGCACAGGAAATTAATTTATGATTACTGAGACAGAAGCAAGTATTACTGTTAATAAGTCATGCATTAACATATTTTTGTTTTTTAATTCACCTTCCACATTCATCTTCCCATACTTTGAATTTACTTTACCTGCATGAATTAACATCTGCAAACACTCTACAGAGTTGTGATAAGCTGCTTCATGAATTGGCATCCATCCCCTGTTATCAGCAATATCAATACTATGTCCCTTTTGAAGAAGTTTTCTTAAGACTTTAACATTGCCTTCTCTGGCAGCAAGTCCAACTGTAGAACACGTGTCAGAATAGGCCTCTGTAAAATCCATTCTTTTGATCAGTCTACAAAACAAGGCAGAAAGGAAAAAAAAAAAACAAGAAACTAGTCAGTAATACATTATACCCCTAGAGATTAGCAGATTGTAATGGGCCTGTCATCCCACACACATCCCACACTACTAAGGAAGACCATGAGGGAGAAAGCCACCTGTCAGGCCATGGTCTCTTGCTACAGTCTAAGTCTGGAAATCTATCTGCATTTGGTGATTTAGGATGATTCCTTGAATGTTCTTACTAATAATATCAAGGGAGATTTAAGTACCCCATCATACATTTTCTGCAAATGTCTAAGCAGTACCTTTCAGCAGACTCATTTTCCTGTTCATACCCCACCAAAATGCACTCTATAGAACTCTGTAGATAAGATCTATACACATAGCACGAATGCTAAATGTATCCCTAATATGCAGAGGGGGTAATGTAACTAACAGTATGACTTCCTGCACTTGCTAATCCTTTCCAGCAGAGGATAAACACCCAGATTCTCTTTCCTTGAGGAAATAGTCCTACAAACTGAATTTAAGGAATGAGACAGAGAGAGATAGATCCAGGGGCTGGAGCAAGAGTACAGCAGATTGGGCACTTGCCTTGCACACAGCCAGGCTGGATTACATCCCTGGCGTCCCATATGGTCCCCAAGGCACTGCCAGGAATAATTCCTGACTGCTGAACCAAGAGTAACCCCTGAGCATCACCAGGTGTGGGCCCCATCATCAAAAACAAACAAACAAAAAAAACCAAAAAACGAGCTAAATCCAGCTTTCTGACACCAGTGCAACAAGTTCTTTAGAGTATTATTAACTTCTTCCTAATCATTTCCCTTTCAACTTCCCCTGAAATCAGTGGCCAGTACAGATATCATGCCAAATTGTTAGTCACATCATGATGCATATTGGGCTGAGATTTAAGATTCTAAGAATAATTATCCAAAGGAATAATGTTTTTATAAAGTGCTATAAAATATGTAAAGGTAAAGGTAAAGGTAAAGGCCCTCCCGTTGTTCATCGATTTGCTCGAGCGGGCCCAGTAACGTCTCCATTGGAGACTTTGTTGTTACTGTGTTTGTTATATCGAATACGTCACGGGGAGCTTGCCAGGCTCTGCCGTGCGGGCGAGATACTCTCGGTAGCTTGCTGAGCTCTCCGAGAGGGGCGGAGGAATCGAACTCAGGTCGGCCATGTTGGCTGCGTGCAAGGCAAACGCCCTAATTAATTACAATTTATATTAATAAAGAGAATAATTAATAATAATAATATATAATAATAATAATAAAGGAGAAAAGAATGCAAGGTTTAAGAAGAGGACTCCCAGAACAACCACCAACTGGGAACTCTTTGGCTCTGTTGCGGCAACATGGGAAGATGCCGTCATTGACAACATTGATGAGGAATACGATCGAATGATTCAACACCTCCATGATTGGGCAAGGAATGCCAAGAGAGAGATAACCACAAAAAACCGTCTTTCTTCGAACACTCTTGAACTTATTCGCCAACGTGGCTTGTCACGTGCCTCAGGCAACCACAAGCAAACGTCCGAACTGGCAAAACAGTGCAGAGAAGCCATCAAGGATGACCTCAAAAACAGGAGAGCAGCAGTACTGGTAGATGCAGCAGAAGCTGGGAAAAACATTCGTAATGCCCGCCTGTCCTTCACCAACTACAAAACCAAGATGACTGCCCTCCGACATCATGATGGATCTATCACATCTTCCAGAAGGGCAATGGAGAAGATTATTCATGACTTCTACTCAGATCTCTTTAATAGCCACATCCACTTGCCCACATACCACATACCACATGATGGATATGTCGTTCCCAATGTTCTCCCTTCCGAAATCCAACATGCCATCTCGTCGGTAAAGAAACAAAGAGCACCTGGCCCAGACAAGATCAGACCTGAACACCTGAAGAACTTACCATCAGTACTCATCAATACATTGGCTCGACTCTTCACACGCTACCTGTCTGAATGCAAGGTTCCATCCCAATGGAAAACCAGCAAGACTGTACTACTATACAAGAAAGGAGACATCCACGACATTGGCAACTATCGCCCAATCTGCCTATTGTCTGTCATCTACAAACTATTCACTCGAGTCATCCTGAATAGGATTAGCAGAACACTAGATGAAGGACAACCATGTGAACAAGCTGGATTCCGAAAAGGATTCAGTACCATCGACCATATCCACACAGTAACCAAGCTCATTGAGGTATCTCGGGAGTTCAAGATGCCACTCTGTCTAACGTTCATTGATTTAAAGAAGGCCTTTGATTCTGTTGAGACGGAAGTGGTCATAGAAGCCCTAGCCAATCAGGGTGTACAAACTCAATACATCAGGATCCTTCGTGAGCTCTATTGCAGATTCACTACCAAGATCTCACCATTCTACAAAGAAGTAATCATCCATATCAAGAGAGGGGTTCGGCAGGGTGATACCATTTCACCAAAACTCTTCAGTGCCACCCTCGAGAACATCATGCGACGGCTGGAATGGGAAAACATGGGAGTGAAGATAGATGGTCGGCAACTACACCACCTCCGCTTTGCTGATGACATCCTTCTAATAACACCAAACATCAACCAAGCGGCACAAATGCTGAACGACTTTGACTGTGAATGTGGAAAGGTCGGACTACAGCTGAATCTTGCGAAGACAATGTTTATGAGAAACAGCCTTGTTCCTGACGCTCCATTCACTCTCAACGGACCCACCATCTCCGAATGCAACAGTTATATATACCTAGGTCGAGAAATCAACATGATGAATGACCTGGCACCTGAGTTGCGCAGGAGGAAGAGAGCGGCTTGGAATGCCTTCAAGAGCATTGAAGAAATAACTAAAAGGACAAAGAACCTCCAGCTACGAGCACATCTCTTTGATTCCACTATTCTTCCTGCATTAACATATGCCTCAGAGACCTGGACCCTACGAAAACAGGATGAGAACACTATTCGGGTCTCTCAAAGAGGAATCGAAAGAACTATGCTTGGAATATCACGATTCACTCAAATGAGAGATAGAATCCGGAGTTCTGATCTTCGTCAACGCTCAAGAATCAGGGACGCTGTCTCATTTGCCAAGACATCAAAAATCAGATGGACTGGACACGTAATGAGGTTTACAGACAACCGCTGGACTAGAGCCATTACTGATTGGATTCCACGAGACATCAAAAGATCACGTGGACGCCCACCTATAAGATGGTCAGACTTCTTCGTCAAGACCCTAAATGATCGGTTTGAGGCTCTACATGTTCCTAAAACGAACAGATACCATTGGGCTATGCTAGCACGCAACCGGGATGAATGGAGACGTTACTGGCACCCGCTCGAATAAATCGATGAATAACGGGGATTAAGTGATTAAGTGATTAAGTGATTAATAAAGTAATAGCATGACAGTATTAATGTTCTATGCATTTTATTGGTGAAGATAAACTCAGAGGCATCACTTGTCAAAGGTTACGTAACAATCTTAGGGTGTTTTCCCTGAAGCATTTCTTTCTATAAAATACAACATTACTAATAGAATCCTTTGCAACTGGTATTATATAATACATTACTGGTATAACAAATCACTAGTATTAAATTAGTAATCAATATTATCAGTGTTAATTACAAATTATTGATAGTATCAATAATCAATATTAACTAAATTGAGTACATAATAAAGTTTAATCATAATTAAATAAAACCATAACAAAAACGGCACGAGTTGCTGGCATGATCTAGAAAACAAGAAGAGTTGATTTTATTTTTTGGGTTTGTTGGGATTTTTTTTTTTTTTGCTTCTTGGGTCATACCCAGCGATGCTCAGGGGTTACTCCTGGCTTTGCACTCAGAAATCACTCCTGGTGGTGGTCAGAGGACCATATGAGATGCTGTGAATCGAACCAGTGTCGGCCGCGTACAAGGCAAACACCCTACCCGCTGTGCTATTGCTCCAGCCCCCGAGGAGTTGATTTTACAATTATAATTTATAATTTATAATTACAGTAGTATTACATATAATAAATTTAATATTAATTTATAAATACACATTACAGCTCTTTTCACTGGCACCAAATGTCTAGTATCTGTATTAATAGCATAATTTAATAAATTAATAAATTAGTTTCTCTATTTTGCATATCGTCGATTTGAGGCATATCGAATACTCTCGAGTACTCTCGGTAGCTTGCCGGGCTCTCCGAGAGGGGCGGAGGAATCGAACTCCGGTTGACCATGTTGGCCGCTTGTAAGGCGAACGCCCTACCGCTGTGCCCAAAAATTAAAAAATAAATAAATAAAAATAAAAAACCCACAACATTTCTATATCAAATTTAAATTTATTCATAATCACAGTTAAAATATAAAGCTTCAACTACAAAAATTGATTCTATAATGAGTCAAACAGTTCAATTTAGCTACAGATCAATCTGACTGGATCAACTAGGAAAGTATAAATACTTATTACAAACCATTTAACATTTATTTACTGATCACCAACTAGCTGATCAGCAATGTGGAAGATGTAAACATGAGACACAAATTCTACCATGTAACATTCTCATAGAATGATAATGCATGTGACTCAAAACTGTTTAAAAAAGTATTATTAGAAGTAATAATAATACTTATTATTATTATTACTTAGGTCCCTCTAAGTACAGAGTCTGGACTGGAGTGATAGTGTAGCAGGTAGGGTGTTTGCCCTTCATGTGGCTGACCCGGGTTCAATCCTCGACATCCCATATGGTACCCCAAGCACTGCCAGGAGTGATTCCTGAGTGCAGAGCCAGGAGTAACCCCTGAGCATTGCTGGGTGTTACCCAAAAGGCCAAAAAAAAAAAAAAATTACAGAGGTCCCGCCACTGAATAATCAAAAAATAGGACAAATTACTACTACTTTGTGAAGGATAAGAGCTGGGCATTAATGGTTATAGAAGATGTAACAAGATAACACAGAAGGAATTTCTAAGGGAATGTAAGACATCATCAATATTATGGAAATGAATTAGAAAGGGTAAGGGACAATGAAGACAGGAAACAACTAGTTTACTCCAAAAAGAGTTTTAAGTTAACAAGAGTAGGAAAACGAGGTTACAGAAGCAGTTGAAGGCTAAACATCAGAAAATCCTGTATCCTAAATATATTTACCACCTTAACTATGCTAAACTTATAGTCAAGACCATTACATCTAAGATGAACAAAAGAAAGCAAATCACACATTTTAGGGTAATTTTAACTTATAAGCATATCCCTCTAGGACAAGAAAACTAATTTCTCTGTAAGAAAAACACACAGAAAATTATACCAAGAACATTAAAAACATTCAATGTGTTAAAGAGCTAGTACAGTAGGATACTTGCCTTGCACACCACCAACCAGGGTTAGATCCCGGGCACCCCGTATGTTCTCCCACCCTAGGAAGTAGTAGACCCTGAACACCAATAGGTGTAACCCCAAAAACAAACCCCTTCCTCCCAAATTCAAGAACAGCCATTAATTCTTTTCCTAATTTTACAAAAAAAATATTATCAGATCCAGATGAGTAGGGAATAATCTGAAAAAAAAAAAAAAAAAAGAAAGAAAACCTGAATATCTTTGAGTTTCCTATGGGAAAAAAAAGAAGAAGAAAAAAAAATTCTATAGGACCTGGACCCAGGAGCTAGTTCAAAAGACTGGAGTATGTTTTGTGTGAAGCCCTAATTCAATTCATTCCCTGAATACCTCCTGGGAGTATCAAATCAGGTATAAAAACATTAAAAAATATAAACACATATGTGTATGCATAAATATGTATATATGTCAGGTGTAGACAAAAACTTTAAAACATATATGTATGTCCTATAATAACAGGATTAGTCATTTCAACTCTAACATAAGCAAACTGTTTACAAGCTCTCCTTTTACAAAACCTGAGTACTGAACAGAAAAAAGATTACAGAGTCAAAAAATTATGAGATATATAAATTTCAACTGGATCCAGGACTGTGAGAGAAAAGTCACAAAAAACGATCTTGAAATAATTCAGAAATCTGAATATGAAATATGTGATGATGCAATTATTGCTTATTTTCTTAGATGTGATATAAGCATTGTGGTTATTTGAAGGCTGTCCTTACATTCTCAAAATTAGCAACTGATAGTTCTAACACATACATTTTTATATTAAAATGTATATGTACTCCCCCATAATACAAGGGTTAAGGTGCCTGCATTACTACAGGCTGCAGATCCCCACTGGGTTCCACATAGGGTTCAAGCAACAAAGCCAAGAGAACCCTATACACCTCTGGGTATAACTCTACACACACACACACACACACACACAGTACTCACAGAAAAAGTATATACACATATATGCTAACTATAACTTTTTCTTCTACTTATAGAGGCTATATCCATTGCAGCTGGAGGTGGGGATGGTGGGTGATAAGCAGGTATGTGGGTCCTTGGGGTAGACTTAATACATGTACTCCACCTCTTGGGTCATCTCTCCTATAAAAATTCTTCAAATTTTGCTAAATGTTTGAAATTTTCCCCAAAATTTGGGGGCAGAAGGAAACGAGACAATTAGATGGGGAAAGCACAATGTAGAAAAATATGCAAAGACCGGCTTATGTTTAAACAAACCCTTTTTACTGTAGCGGCTTCCTAATTATTTAAGAGCCCAGTGATATTCTTTCAACCGGATTAAGAAATCTTCAGGAAAACAATCATTAGATAACGTTTCTGTTTTCTCAAATAGAAACACGACAGTGAATAGTCTGCAGAGCAGAAACTAGGCGGCAGATCTTAACAATGACTAGGATCCTTGAAAAGCTGTTAAGATTCCTCCTAGAAAAATGAAACCCTCCAACTTGCATACAGTTTCAGAAGGATCCCCATATCGCTCGCTTGTGGAGCCTGTGAGCCAAGAACCTTCCTGCACACTTTTCCTGAGGTAGTGACTGAGAGCACCGAGGAGACACACGGTTCAAATCTCAATAGCTAAGTGATCCTGTGGGTTTAAATAATGGAGGTCTCTTGACTGGAGTCCCACTATCTGATCCTGTGGGTCCAAGTATTAGAGGTCTCTTGACTGGATTCTCATACCTGACTGACCCTGAGGCTTCAATGGAGATCTCTTCACTGGAGCCTCACTATCTAACTGATCCCAAGGAATTAAGTATTAAAGATCTCTTTCACCGGAGCCTCAATATTTGACTGATCCTGAGGGATCAAGCATTTTAGATCTCTCCTGACTGGAGTCTCAGGCAAAAGTCTCGCCCTGGAGCCGGATCTCCTCAGGAAATGGGCTAGGGCACAGAGCCACCCTCCCGCCCCGCGGCCAATATGCCCTGCAGCCGGCTCTCGGGGCAGCAGCAGCCCGTCCCGGTCGCCCGGTGCCGCAGGCCGCGAGGCTAGGGCTGTAGTTCCGGCGGCGCCCAGCGGCGGCACCATTGAGGCGGACGCGGGGGCCGCGAGGCCTGGCAGCATTTCCGGCAGCGAGAAAGAGGGCGCTCCCGGCGTGCCTTGCGGCGCTGCGTCTGCGCCTGCGCCCGGCGGCCGGTTACACAGCCCCGACTGCAGCGGGCTGACTGGGCGGACGGCCGCCGCCCGGCAGGATGTGGGTGTTCGGCTACGGCTCCCTCATCTGGAAGGTGGACTTCCCATACCAGGACAAGCTAGTCGGGCACATCACGGGCTACAGCAGGCGCTTCTGGCAGGGCAGCACCGACCACCGCGGGGTCCCCGGCAAGGTGAGCCAGGCGCGCTGGGGAGGGGAGGCCGGAGCCTCGGGACCCAGCTGGCACCGGGCGCGGTGAGTGCGGCTGGGTCTCTCGGACACTCGCAGAGCTCCAGCCATGCAGGAAACGGTTTCCAGGCTGCTTTTCAAAGATCACTGGGGTGATCGGGCACTCGTGAAATTAAATGAGTCCCGGTTTGCTTCCTGAGCAGCACCACCCACTGAAAGATCCAGGGTGGGTTCTTGTCTGTTTTAAAACAGGAATGTACACTTACTAGATGACCGATTCCAAACTACGGAGTGGAGTAGTTCTGAATTCACCTTGGGCAACCTCCCCCTTCCCGTATGCAGGAAAATCCACCTTGGCACTGTGTTCTTTGTCCCCGGTTCTGCTGAGTTACACAGTGAAAACGTTGAGTTCTCCGATAGTTTTTTTTTTTTTCGGCCGTGCCAAGACATTCGTCTAGATGTTAGCACTGAGATTTAGTAGCACTCAATTACTTATGCAATTCAGCCTTACATCAGCTAAAAAACAACTCGTGAGTCAAGATAAGTTTTAGGCAGCTAACAATTTGGGTAACTTAGTAAACACCTTTTTCTTTTGGAAAAGTACCAAATGTTCTGTTGCTTATAAATGTTCTCCAAAATATTTTGAGAATTATATAATACTGATTACTTTTTTCCCTGATAACTATTTTTAAAAGAGTGACCTAAATACACACTCTAAAATGCTAGAAATTGCATATAGAAAAAGATGGGGGTTAACTTCAAAGAAGAACCTGTAGTGATGGAAAAAGAGAAAGATCGTGAAGAATTGGCCCTGCTAATAGAAAAGAGAAAAATTACAGACAACATGAGTTAGAAGCCATGTTTCAAATTGGAGTTTATGAGTTTGAGAATTTGGCTTAACGCAGATAGATGACTGTAAACCGGAATGACCTTAAAGAACTAAGGGGCCAGGAGCTCATGCTTTGCATGCTAGGGTCCCATGTTCAATTCTCAGGGTCACACAGTTCATTCTTTTATCCTCCCCTAGCACCACGTATGGCCCGAAAACAACGAAAATCTACTAAGTGAAATGCCTGATGAATTGCCCAATATGACTGATTAAAATTGTCATTCTAAAGAGTGTGAACTCAGGCTTCAATTTTTAATAACCATGTATTAATAACATGCTTATGAATGTGGTTATAAATAGCATATTTCACTGGCCTAGTCTCATCCAAACTAAATGATGTGCTTGTAAGATATAATTTCCGGAGATGCAAATTGCCTAACAATAGAAACAGTCAAGTCAGTAAAAAGTACTATATTAAAATATAGGGTAGGAATGTTAGGAGGGAAAAAAATAAAATGCTAAAAGTTGTGTAATTTTATTTAAAGAATACATCCAAAGAAATTAAAGGAAAGTATTTAAAGAACTTTTTCTAAGTTTACTGTTTTGTTAAAACAATTTTACACTTTTATAATAGGCCATCAACCTTATGGAAATATTAGTTGATAATAAACGAGAGAGTGAAAGGCTACCGAAATAGCAAGCACATACTAAGAAAGAGTAGATGCCCTATATTGGCCTGTATTTTTCATAGTAATATGACTAATAAGTTAAGTCATCATAACACAGAGTATGATACTGTTAAACAAAGATTCATAGCTGCCTGTGAATGGGGAAAATATCAAACTTTATTAAATTATGCTTTCCTGTTAGCTTCATTAAACTTTAATTTCTTCCTTCATATAATTACACATCTCATTTGTATATCACCAAATTAGCAACTTCTCACCAAATTAGGATGTATTTAAATGAGTTTCACATCAGAGTGTATTTCAGTTTCAAAAAGAGGAAGCAAATAACAGAGATAAACATGAGCATTTACCAAAGTTCCTAATATATATCAAAAACAATACTCATTACCCAACAAAAATGTCTCTGACATATTTCACATCCTCTTCAACTGAAAATACCTTTTTCAGTTTCAATGCAAAAAAAAAGTAAAGTGCATCTACAAATGTACAGTTTCAGTAACACAGTTGGGAGCTTATAAAAAATATTTTTAAATATATCCATATACATGTATTGTCAACAGTCCATATCTGTGTCATAAGTATTCACATGAACCCATTTATTTGTCCTCAAAATCATTCTCTATGTATTCTGTTTTCTGTCCCTAAAGTCATTGTCTAATTCCTGGACTTCATTACTCTTCCTCTCAACAATCATATGTAAGTGCTCCTTAGTACTGAGTACTTACAAGTAACTGGGAAATGTCAATGCAGATAACACCCATTAAATGTTGTAAGGGACAGGAATAAAAGGAGCAATGTTTAGAAAAAGGAAGTGCTCCAGTACCTAGGAGCCATCCAAGCCTTTACAGAGAAAGTGGTAAACAGCCTCAGATTTAAAAGGAGAAAAGGACTGAGAACTGCTGTTTTAAAAAATTCTGACTCTGGGAGCCAGGGAGATAGCTTGGAAGGGTGGAGTTGTGCTTAACGAGGTAAGGGCCCACTGATACAGGGGGGAGGCCACCCTACGCTAGGAATTGTTGTTGAAGAAACAAAGTTAATACAGAGAAGAGGAAAAGTGTGAAGAGATGATTATCTGTAAGTCATAATAATGATTTTTTATTTAATTCTGTAGAATATTCAAAGCTCAGGAGTAAGTGACGCATTTTTTTGGCACAAGAAAGTGATTGTAGGTCAAATACAGGGCAAAATGGAAGAAAGCAAAACAGACAGTCAGGGATCAGAGTGTAGTACATTTGCCTTAAAGCAGCCGACCCAGATTCAATCTCCACCATCCCAGATGGTCCCCCATGCACCACCAGGGTTAATTCCTGAGTGCAGAGCCAGGAGTAATCCCTGAGCATTGCCAGATTTGGCCCAAAAAGCAAATAAATAAATAGAGACACTGAGATCCCTAAGAAACAACAGACTGATAAAGAGGAACCAGATCCAGAAGATAATCAGAAAACAGAGCCACCAAAACCTGTTGCCTTGGCTGGGTGTAAGGGGGAATATGAAAAGGCAGAATACAGGTCTAGTCATTTGGACCATTCGCTGTTCTTTTCCCAGCATCTACCTCTTCCCACTCCACTTGCATATTTTTCATGCCAGTTCCCTGCTATTCAGGTGCTAAAAATGTTAGTTACTATATATTTCTACCAAGTTTCAGTAGCTTCTAATTTCTCATCCCCTAATTTCAACTCCACCACTCTGACCTTTCAAATCTTGGTCTACCTAGTTAAACTGCCATAAGGAATCCTCTGCTAAAATAAGACATTTAGTCTAGTCCTCTCCAAGCTCTGACTTGTATAGGTGGCCATTTGCTAGAATTTTGTATTCCTTTCTGACTGCCTGATACTCAAAATTCCTACTGCATTTAACAAATTCCATATGTTACTGGCATTAAGAATTCTCTATTTACATATTAAGTTCATGTTTCTGAGTTACAAAATATACTTTTGGAAGCAAGTTATCTTCTCTAATAAACACAGTGGATGTTCAATGAGTTGACTTTGAACTGGAAGTACACTCCTCATTGCAGCATTGTATTCAACATAAAACAAGCTAAACCTCAAGTGTTCTACACATGAATGTTTCTATTATAGTTGACAACAAATTATATAGTTATTAAAATGATATAACCTAAAACCAACTTGTCCCATAATAACTTACACAAATGGCAAATACCAGCATGAAACAGTAACAAAGATGATACAATCTCCAGAATGAATTAGGCCACTAAGTAATGCACAGTGGATATACTTGGACATAAGACTGTGACTTACAACTTACCAGTTTCACTAAATGACTTTACATGTCACAGAGAGATGTAGCATTTGCCAGGAAGATTTTTCAGTCAAACTTTTCATACCTACAGAAGCAGAAACCCTGGGAATGTGGCCCTGCATTGTGTTTTCATCACACCGTCTTATATGATTTTGGTCTATACTAAAGTTTGAGAACTAATTCCTTAAACAAAAGCACCCTGGAATGTCAAGTTTTGTTCCACAAAACCTATAACTGTATTTTTTCCCCAGTGGGGAAAAAAGTGACCAGAACTTTCATTTATAATTGTTTCTTCCTTTGCCTTTAATTTTAAATGAGTCTTAAGTACTGGTGTATTTTTAAATATATTCATTTTAAGTGACAAAAATATATCTAATACACATTATTAGTAACAATAATATACCTAATACACATTAAAAGGAATCTTTTAGAAAATCTAAGATAGTCTGAATAAGATAGATTTTCTTTAAATTTATCATAAAAATAAGTCTTAGCAAACAGTGCTTAGTGTGAGCAAATAAAATTTAAATATTCCATGTCAACAATAAGTTACTATTGCTTAGTTACTTAATGAATTTTAACTCAGAAAAAAAAATTTTTTTTTCCACTTTTTTAAAAACAGCCTGGAAGAGTTGTGACTCTTGTTGAAGATCCTGGGGTATGGTATAACTATTCCTTTTTGTATAGTCTTTAATCATATCAAATGTTGAGATGTTTCTCAGTTTAATACTCAATTAAATTTCACTGACAGTCATCAGATAGTATGAATTATATTGCATTTAGAATTCCTCTCTATTACGTTTCTTTTCATCTGTTTATAGAAATGATACCTGTAGGGAAAGTCAGAACAGAATGCAAGCTAGACAATAAAATTAAACCAAATTTCTAAACAAGTTTGTTAGCTGACAATGAAAGGTACAGCCAATAGACAGAATACCCTTAAGAATCTAGTGCAGGGCTGGAACGATAGTACATGGAGTAGGGTGTTTGCTTTGCATGCAGTCAACCCAGGTTTAAATTCTAGCACCAAAAATGGTTCCCTAAACCTGCCAGGAGTGATCCCTAAGGCAGAGCCAGAGTGAGCCATGAGCACCACCAGGTATTGCCCCAAAACAAGTAAAATTAATCCAATCTTGTTCTCATATTTCTAATATTTTCAGCAAAAATTCAAGTCAGATATTCTCATTTTAATAGCCTAGTTCTATTAGACTATACAGGCTTTTTGGCAGGTGTAGAAGCATCAGAAAACTTTAATTTACCTGTTAGTCCTCTGTTTCTAAAATATTTCTAGTCATTTTATTGATAGTGATTCAAATTTTCATGTTATGAAGAAAATTTTTATTTTGGAAAGGAGTACTTGGCTATACAAAAACTAAGCAGCTAGCAACAGCAGACAATAGTACAGATTTGGAAATGCTTTTAAAATTTACGTTTGGATAGATGCTTGATACTGCTAACAACAATGTGACTGTTTTATAAAATTTTATAAAAGCATTGAAGATGTTTAGCAGCCTAATATTTAATACTAAAACTTGTCCAAGAAATTAGAAAATCTGCATTACAAACTCTTAAATCTTCTCTTTGTATATACTGAAAAAAAGTTCTTTGCAGCTAAAGTACATTGTTTTTACTGGCACTTTGTTCATGGGCTCTCTAACCAAAGAGGTTGCCATCTAGTATTTCAGATGTAGTAATTTACTAAGGACATCTGAAACTTGAGGCAGTGAAGAACTGAACAAATAAAATAAATCTATTACAACCTAAAATGGTTGGGTTTTTTTTTATTTTGTTACAAAGCTTTGAAGACACAAAACCCTTTCTGAAAAACAGGGAACATGTAAAATTAAGGGATGCTTAGCTGTCACTGAAGAAGGTTGGGGTATGCAAGTTCTCCCAACCAGCACCCCAATACTATTATCTAATTAGCCCCTGTGATAGATGAGGGCAGCTAGTGTCCTAGACAGTTAGTGAAACATTTTAATATTTTTTCATGACCAAATGAAGGCCCCATTAGTTAAAAGAAAAAGACCTTATTTTAAAATTTTAAACAAATATTCTGGTGTGCCTAAGAAACAGGAAGTTACTAATTCAGAATGCTTTCAAGTACTGATTTTATCTGGTATTATACATCCTTATTACCTTCAGTGAAGAAAAATAGCATTGATTTCTAAAAATATCTGCTATTTTCTAAGATCACAACATATCGTCAACCTGGCTTGGCCATGTAAAAGTAAATAATACCTGCTTTTCGTCTTTCACAGGGTTGTGTATGGGGTGTTGCTTACAGACTACCAGTAGGAAAAGAAGAAGAAGTAAAAGCATACCTTGACTTCCGAGAGAAAGGAGGCTACATGACAACCACAGTCCTTTTTTATCCAAAAGATCCCACAACAAAACCATTCAGTGTGTTACTGTATATTGGAACATGTGATAATCCTAATTATCTTGGTCCCGCACCCCTGGAAGACATTGCTGAACAGATTTTTAATGCAGCTGGTCCAAGTGGAAGAAATACAGAATACCTTTTTGAACTTGCTAATTCTATTAGAAATCTTGTGCCAGAAGATGCAGATGAGCATCTTTTTTCTTTGGAAAAACTAGTAAAGGAACGTTTAGAAGGAACACAGAATCTCAATTGCATATAAACATCTAATCATTGACTTTTCCAAATACGCAGAGCTCTTAGTCTTCAGAGAATTGTGTCATTCCACAATGGCAATATGATTTGGAAATGTGTTTACTTTAAGACCTTACTTATTTTTAATGTTGTAGTCAATATGTTTCAAAATCGAGTTTAAGGTCCTGAAATACATATTCAAAATACTGTGGTCTAGTTAAAAGAAAAAAAATTCAAGTTTTAATATAATGATTTCCTAGCTATATGATACTGAACATTTACTCTATGAGAAGTGAGTTCTCTAGAAAAACAGTGAAGGACTGGGTTCAGAGCTTATTTTTATCAAAGTAAAAATTACTCTGTTGGCTCAAATAATACTATTTTGAAGTTGTAGAGAATAAATTCCAATGAATATAATAAGGTATTAATTATACCTTCAGTATATTCTTACACAGTAATTCTGTAACCATGGTTTAAAATATAGCTTAAAATAATGTGTAAATGGAAATAGAAATTAGAAACTTGATCTTACAAACTTGATTAATTTTCCCGTTCACATATTAGAAATTTTGGCTTCACATGTAAGCCCAAAAAATTGACAAATTTAATATAGAAATTTCCTTGGAACTGTAATATATGTAATCCTGCTTTTTAATAAATGCATTTTACTACAAGTTAAAACTCCTTAAGCTAAATCACATCTACTAACAACAAAGTTTTTCATTTACTTTGCATTTTATACTGGAACTTCTTTTTAAAAGATAAGCTTTCTGACAAAACAAATTAACAAAAACATATCATGAAAACCTGTTATTTGAAATGGCTATAAGAATTGTAATTTTTCAAGTAAAACAAGGCTTTTATTTTCTTCTCAGATCACCACTTAAGTAAAAGTTACTGAACTATGTTAATAATGCTACTCATATCACAAACATACATATTGGCCACAGAGATAGATAGTTCAGTGGACTGCATGCCTAACAGGCAGAAATTGCTGATTTCAATCCCTCCTACCACGTGACCACCTAAAAGTCCTGTTTATAGTCCTAGTGGCCTCCAGAATTCCTGGGGGGCACTCCAAAACAGAAAAGATACTTGTACCTTATTAACTGACATAACATATTAACTTATTAACTTATCTTGATTTTTATCAAGATTATCATTATCATAATTCTTCTGATCACAAATGATTTTTCTCAAAATGAATCAATAAAAACTCCTCAAACCAAGGCATGACTAATAGTAGACAAATCTGTCACATAAGAGGGAGCTGAAGATACAGTACAGAAAGTAAGGCACTTGTCTTGCAATCAATCCAGGTTCCACACAGGATCCTTTGAGCACTACCAGGAGAGATTTCTCAGCACAGAACCAGGAGTAAGCCCTGAACACAGCCAGGCGTGGCCCAAACAAATGAACAAAAAAACATAAAATAAAGCTATTCTATTACAATAGGCTCATAGTTCTTTTCATATTTTCTTTTCTGCTCTTAACACTTAATCTGTACTGAGCTAGGTAATTGCTGGACAGTTAATATGTGGAATCGTATTTTGGCTAACTTCTCTGATCTTGTTTCAGTTATATATTTAGTATGGGACAGAAGTCCATGTCTCAAACTCAAAAGAAAAATATCCTTTTGATGTATGTTAAAAACCCATTTGAATGCCCATTTTCTCCAACCTGCATTTTTATTCTGGAAGTAAACAGTATTATTTCATATGATGAATTAATATGTTATATAAAGTTGTTAAGCTAATTTTTAGATAAGTACAGATTCTCACAAAGATAATGTGACTATTGAAAATTCAAATATAATAGCTAAGAATGACTATATAAATCCAGAGATAGAGGCCTTAACTGTACAGAGATCTAGGGAGAAAGGAATCTATTACTTCCCAAGTGATTCCTCTACCATTTAACATTTAATTATGATACAAAATACTTGGAGGGGGGGGGAACCTAGGAATCTCCATTTACATGTCTTTTCAAGCTGTTCGAATTTAGATGGGAAAATACATGAGCATACATCTGGTTTATCATATACTTATAGGGACGCCATAATCAAAGACCCTAAGGGCAGACAGAATCATACTTGTTAATAAGAGAGAAACATGACCAAAATGGAGAAAATAATACTGAAATGGAGAGAAGCTAGGATTTGAAAACTCCAAGATAGCAAGAACTGAAATGAAATTACCCTGTTCTCTAAAGCATAACTTCCTATTGTAAGCAAAACTGGAAGACTGTTTTTACAGACACTGACTTGAAATATTTTCTCATTCTATCTTATCATACACACAAAATTCAAATTCTCATTCCTGAGTCTTGGTAAATTTTAGGAATTCAAAAGTATGTGTAAATTCTACACTGAGAAAAAATTATTAAGTCCTTGTAATGGAATAGATTTTTTACAGAATTGTCTGTATTCCTACTTCAAGTCACTATTTTATTTCCTTTTCATTTCTAAACATACTCCTCTACCTACCAAGAACTGCTAAATTCAACTTTGATACAACTTTTATTCAAAAAGTTCATTACATAGAGAAACAGTTCATTACAAAGTACCCTATTTAATGCCAATAGTGCATTAATAATAAGCAATAAATATATTTATTGAGTTTGTAATTCCATAGGTCCAATATCTCAAGATTTATAAACCTGTGTTGAAGAACCACACATTCTCTATTCAGTAGTCTCAACATTTCACTTTGTTCTTTTACACTGCAACTTGTCTAGATACATAGATATTCAAAACTGTAACCAGAAAATTACGTGCTTTTGATGAGTAAAATAACCCCTACAAGCTTAGCAGTTGGGAGTATCAAAATCAGGTATCCGGGGTTATGGTGCCGCCAGCAGGTCAATCTGTACCTGTGAGGCGAGAGCATCAGCAGCCTCATGGCGCCTTCAGACTTCCAGATACCCCAAAATTGCTGCTGTGCTTTTGGCCAGACCCCAAAAACTTGGGGCAAAGTTTACCAAGAAAGTAAACGGCCAAAAGTTAGGTATGTGGAAAACACACCCACAAACCACCTCCAGCTCAGCTATATAATTGAAGGCAAGGCCTCTTTGGTTCCTGATTGAACTGCTTAATGGACATGATCCCAGAGACTCAGAAACGAATCTCAGAACCCAGTGGCTTTAGGTAGAAATGCGTCTGATCACTGCAGTAGGCTACCGGTGCTGGGCCAACCCAGGTCGGAATAGGTTTCATGCCTTGGCCTGTTCCCCCTGGCGGCCCAGTGGCCGCCGTCCATCTAAGGCCACTGGATAGTCACATTTGGGCCCCCAATGACGAGACATACAGGGCCTCAAGGGATGGGGGTGGAGCCGGGCTTGTCCTCCCCACCCCAATGAGACCCCAAGTCATCGCCCATGAATGACCTCTCTGGCTCCTGATCAAGCTGCTTAACAGCCATGATCCCAGAGACTCAGAAACAAATCTCGAAACCCAGCTGCTTTTGTCAGAAATGTGTCTGGACCCCGCAGTAGGTTACTGTCGCCGGGCCACCCCAGGGGGGAATGGGTGCAATCCCTCCACCTGCTCCCTCTTGGCGACTTGGTGGCTGTCATCCTCCAGAGGCCATTGGACAGTCAGGCTTGGGCCCGCAGTGACGAAACTTGTTGGGCCTCACAGGATGGGGGGCGGGGGGAGCCGGGCCTGTCCTCCCCACCCCAATGAGACCCCAAGTCATCGCCCACGAACGGCCTCTCTGGCTCCTCATCAAGCTGCTCAACGGCCATGATCCCTGAGACTCAGGAGCAGATCTCTAAACCCAGTGGCTTTTGGCAGAAATCCCTCCATATTTAAGTGTTAAAATTTCAGAATTTCAAAACCACATGGTCCTACTGCAGCCACACGACATCATGTTATTCATAATCAGCAACAGAACACAAATTGTCTATTGCTGCCTTTTCATCAGATTTGAGTGTTGGGGTAAAATCTCAAATAATGGTGGGTCTGGTGTCGAAATAGTGAATGTGATCAAAGTAGAGAGAGAGTAATGTGGAAATCATCTGCCCCACAGGCAGGGGGAGGGTGTGGGATGGGGGTATACTGGGATTTTTGGTGGTGGAGAATGGGCACTGGTGAAGGTACGGGTGTTTCATTGTATGACTGAGACTTAGACCCAAAAGCTTTGTAACTGCTCTAATGGTGATTCAATAAATAAAATCATAAAAAATGGAAAAAAATCAGGTATATGTTGAATATGCTTCAAATTTCCTATCATATCATATTAAAGGGCTGGAGCGATAGCACAGTGGTAGGGCGTTTGCCTTGTGCACAGCTGGCCAGGCGAAGCCAGATTCGATTCCTCCGCTTCTCTCGGAGAGCCCGGCAAGCTACCAAGAGTATCTCGCCCACACAGCAAAGCCTGGCAAGTTATTCATGACGTATTCAATATGCCAAACACAGTAACAACAAGTCTCATGATGGAGACATTACTGGGCCCGCTCAAGCAAATCGATGAACAACAGGAGGACAGTGACAGTGACAGATTATATTGAAATCTTCTGATCAAATATTTAAAATATTTTTTTCTCAGTAAAAATGCTGTGACTGCATTTTTTATTAATCTGTCAAACTTTTACTTCCTAAAACACTAAGTAATTTTCTTTACTGGCCAAAACATTTTCTCCTTAAAAATATGTTGGTTGGGGGTATGATGCCACCAGCAGGTCAATTTCTGTACCTGTGAGGCAAGTGTATCAGCAGCCCAATGGCTCCTTCAGACTTCCAGATACCCCAAAATTGCTGCTGTGCCTTTGGCCAGACCCCAAAAACTTGGGGCAAAGTTTACCAAGAAAGTAAACGGCCGAAAGTTAGGTATGTGGGAGACACACCCACAAACCACCTCCGGCTCAGCTATATAATTGGAGGCAAGGTCTCTCTTGGGTCCTGATCGAACTGCTTAACGGTCATGATCCCAGAGACTTAGAAACAAATCTCAAAACCCAACGGCTTTTGGCAGAGATGTGTCTGGTCCCCACAATGGATTACCAGCACCAGATCACCCCAGGAGGGAAAGGATGTTGTCCCTCTGCCTGCTCCCCCTTGGTGGCTCGGTGGCCACCATCTTCCAGAGGCCATTGGACAGTCAAGTTTGGGCCCTTAGTGACGGGACATGCAGACATAGGATGAGGGTGGAGCAGGCCCTCCCCCCCCCCACCCCAAGACCTCTAGTTACCTCCCACGAACGGCCTCTCTGGCTCCTGATCAAGATGCTTAATGGCCATGATCCCAGAGACTCAAACAAATCTCGAAACCCAGCAGCTTTTGGCAGAAATGAGTCCAGTCCCTGTAGTAGGTTACCGGCGCCAGGCCACCCCAGGTGGGAATAGGTTTTGTGCCTTGGCCTGTTTCCCCTGGCGGCCCAATGGCCGCCATCCTCCAGAGGCCACTGGAAAGTCAGGTTTGGGCCCACCCGCAGTGATGAGACATGTGGGGTCTCACAGGATGGGGGTGGAGCCGGCCCTTTCCTCCCTGTCCCAATGAGACCCATAGTCACTGCCCACAAATGGCCTCTCTGGATCCTGATCAAGCTGCTTAATGGCCATGATCCCAGAGACTCAGAAACAAATCTCAAAACTCAGCGGCTTTTGGGAGAAATGTGTCGGGACCCCAAAGTACGTTACTGTGGTCGGACCACCTCAGGAGGGAAAGGGTGCTCTTCCTCCGTCTGTTCCCCCTTGGCGATCCGGTGGCCGCCATCTTCCAGAGGCCATTGGACAGGTTTGGGCCCGCAGTGACGAGACACACGGGACCTCATGGGATGGGGTTGGAGCCGGCCCTTTCCTCCCCTCCCCAACGAGACCCCGAGTCACCACCCACAAATGGCCTCTCTGACTCCTGATAAAGCGGCTTGATGGCCA